CTTTTATCTCATTGATTGTTCTGCTTCGTTTAGCTTTTAGCTTATGTTCGGCTTCTTTTACCTTGAACAACTCAGTTTCAGCTCCTTAAGCATGTCATTCAGCCCTAAGCCTTTACTCTATTGGAGCTGAGCTATTATTAGTTCAGAGGATCAGACTTTTAAAACCCTTTCAACTGACTCCTGTCAGAGCAAATCTGGCTGAACCAAAGAATTTTAGGTAGGCTACTTTTTAAACATTTATCATATTCCACTGAGCGACATGAGAAATGTCACACTCGTGGCTGAAAAAAACACATCCGAGAGGCTGTGATGAAGAGGAGCAGGAAAAACAGGAATCCTGTAAACCCAGAAGCAAGATCTGCGTGTGTGTCGACATCAGAGCGGCGCTGTGAGGAGATAACGCCTGCCAAACTTAAATACAGGTTGGGAGGGTATTCCCTGCTCTTCTGGGGATTTTTATTTATTTTTTTAGTTAAAAAAAAAACATTCAGAGCTGGGGGGAAAGTAAGTCAAAACATCACGCTGTTGGCATGATTCAGTAACAGTTTGGGAAATGTTCAGGGTGAGCTAAAGGTTAGAATAAACAACGTGTTAACCTCTTAAAGATGATTAGTTGTACATTCTGCCAGTTTTAATAAAAAAAACCCCACCAGTGGTTCATGAGATCAGACAGACATTTTGACAGAGCAATAAAAACTCTTATTTCTGGTCTTTCTTTGAGTCAGGCAGGATAAATGTGAATGAAGGTGGTTATATAATATTGACAGCTCACTAGATTTCCTCTGCCATTGTCAGTGTTCTGTGTAACAGGAAGTGTGTGTGTGTGTGCTGCCTGTGAAATCCACAGCATCCAAACCAGTTCATGGCTGAGGAGTGTGTGTGTAACAGCAGGCATGAGTCATCAAGCCTGTCTTATGTAACTACATCACTTCTCCACCCAACTTGCAGCTCTAGTGCACCACACCCCAGCTCCATTCACACTCTGCTCAGCCTCTCATTGATGTGCCGGGTTTTCTTACACAACACCTTTAACCATCACTTCATTTGAGTGCACTACATGAGTGCTGACTGAACCGTCCATGGCAGGTTATTTGTGGCGTTTGCGCCCCCTTGGTAAAAATGGAGGTGCAGGATGAAGCTGCCAGAACACCCGCGGAGGGGGGGACAGAGAAACACACAGAGGGAGGTAGGAGGGTCTCTGGATGCTGTCATCAGTCAGGCCACTGACGTCACCCTCTCACACAGAACACTGTCATCCAGCTCCAAATTTACAGAAATATACATGAAAATATCTGCATCCAGAAAACATTTAAAATCAGTTTCATAGTAAATCAACATAAAATATAAGACATGTTTCTAATAATACTGTAAGATGGTATTCGACCATCAAACGAAGCATGAAACTGGTTGCAAGCTTGTTGTTTTTTTTCTCCAAGCACAGCCTGTTTGACAATGTTCGTTAGGAAGTGTGTAGTTGTGCAACACAGTCTGTAATCTGCAGCTTACTGTAAGAGAGCCAAACACAAAGATGAAGATGTGTTGTCCTGCTGACATCATGTGGACGTGCTGATAACTGCACGACTCCTGATGCTGCAGCCAGAGGGAGGCAGATCAGTGGGTGACACAGCTACCACAGAAACATCTTAGAAAATATGTCGTGGGGAAAACAATCATCTAAGTGTGTCAGTAAAGTAGAACCCATCAAAATTGTTGGGACCATGTGTCAAAAAAGTGAGGACAGGAGGCAACCAAAGGGTGTAAAAGTAAGTGATGCATAAAGAAATAGGAGGATAATTTTCAGGTCAGTAAAAGAACTGGATTTAAAAAGAGCAGTTTGGAGAGGCTGAATCTCCCAGTAAAGATGGGCAGAGATTCATCAGTCTGAAAAAAAAAACTGAATCTAAAAATAAAGCAACATTTTAAAAATAATGTTCCTCAATCAAAAAAAAAAAAAGGATTTTGAAAATCATCATCTAGTGCAGTGGTTCCCAAACTTTTTATCTTCTGACCCATAAAATATCCATGGCAAAAACATGTGACCCCAAATATTACTGGTCTGAGTACACGAACTTTGTAAATAACCCTGAAAACACAGGCTTTTTGACAATTATTTTATTACCCTTTAAACTGATTTCTGGAGATTATCCAAGGTGCTTCATGACCCATAATTGGGTCCCAAGCCCAACTTTGGGAACCAAAGTGCAGTGGTTCCCAAACTTTTCAGCTTTTGACCCACAAAATAACAGTAGCAGAGACCTGTGGCCCCCAACTATGTTTGGATGATAAACAAAACATGGGCATAGTAACAATATTTTTATACTACATTTATTCATTTTAAATATACTAAACTCACTCCTTTGTAACAACTAAGGCAAAACTGTAATTGATTCAGAAAATCTTTTCAGGACCCCACCTTGATGTTTCGGGACCCCACTTTGGGTCCCGACCCCAACTTTGGGAAGCACTGATCTAGTGTTTAGCTTTTAAATTTATTTATTTGTCTTCCGGCTCCTTTCTTCAGGAGTCTCCACATGAAGTCCTGGCAGTTGTTTTTAAGCCAGATGTGCCTTTCCTGACACAACCACAGACCACCGAGCGAACACAGCCCACGTGTGTGGAGCAGGGGAGCAGATTAGTGGGTTGGGAACCTTGCTCAAGGGTCCAGAGTGGGACAAACGTGGGTGGAGGAAGACGTGGATCTTTTATTGTCAAAACATTTGAAGATTCTGGAGAAATCTTCGAACTGAAAGTTGAGATATTTGCATGTGGAGTAACAGGAAGTGATGTCAAAGGGATGTGTCTGTGTGTAAGCAGAGTGTTGCTACAACAGCTAACTACACACAGACTATAGAGAATAATCTGATGTTTCTTTAGATTATTTTGAGTCACTATCAGAGACATGAAGACGAGTCAGAGTTCAAATAATTGTTTCAGTAAACAAAGACCAGACAGTTCATTTCTTTAAATGTTCCCCTTGGATGTCATTTCCTGTTTCACTTTAGTTGAGCCAAATTCAAATGAAAAAATGCCAATTATGTGACAAAATGAGTAAAATCACAAATTTTTTGCTGTTTCTTAAATATAAAAGGGTTTTCCTTGACTTTTTGTATTTGAAGAATACGTATGTTATGAGCACTTTAACATCATTGAATGAGTTCAGAAACACTTCCACTGTGTCTGTAAATGCAAGTTACCCTGCCATCTACAACTGCAGGTTAAAGCTCTATCATGTAAAGAAGATGCCACGTGTGAACACCATCCAGAAATGTCAGCATCTTCTCTGAACCAAGGCAAAGTTGGAAACTGTTGTTTGGAAATTACAGATGCCACATCCTCTGTACTAAAGAGCAGCGGGGCTTGGGGGGGGGGGGGTTCAAGGGGGGGTTCAAGCCTGTTATCAGCGCAAAGTTCAAAAGCAAGCCTCTCTAATGGTATGGGGGTGCATTATTGTCTCTGACATGGACAACTTACACGTCTGGAAAGACACCAACAATTCACAACAGTGTATATGTGTTTGAGAATAACACAATTTCCCATCTGGACATAGTATTTTTAGGGAAACCCTTGCATATCCCAGCAAAAATATTAAAACATTCTGCATCCATGAGAACACTGTTACTTTAAATGAGAAAAAGTTGGGTGCTGAACTGACCTGTGTGCAGTCTTTAGCAATTGTAAAACATTTGTGCATCATGAAAAAAAAAAACTCAAGCAAAGACCCAGAACTTATTAATAGATAGAATCCTAAATCTGGCAATAGAGGGACAATATTCTATTTAAGTGGCCCTTGTTCCAACTTTTTTGTTTTGCTGTCATCAAAATTACATTCACATTTTTCAAAAAAAATACATGTATAATCTGTTCTATAGTGAATAAAACATAGATTTATTAGTAAATCATTGTATTCTGTTTTGATTTACATTTTACAAAACATCTCAACTTTTCTGAATTGGGATTCTGACAGTGTTTTCCGATACTAGTAGGAAATCTCTGTCTTTGCTCTGATGAATCACGTTCGTTGTTGAATCTGAAGCTGTGTGAACAACAGGACCGTTACCTCTTTGTAGTCAGCAGATTTCCTTTTACGGACGAAGGCATCTGATCGTCAGCTGGTGGCACTGATCCTCTGACATGAGCACTAACACGATTAGACATAAATAGCTCTTGTCTCAATAGTCTTTGAAACTGGATACAACCATGAGAATAGTTGACATACTGTAGGACAAGATCCACTACAAAATACAAACTCCACACGCAGGTCAGAATTTATGGAGCGTGACTTTGTTCCAAAAACAGAATGTGCCTTGATTTGAGAACAGCTGTATAAAAAAATTCACGAGACAATAAAACAATCATTGTTTCTTCTGTGACACAGCTCTTGTGAAGATGAAGGACTGTAGAATAGAAATAAACACGACTGTTGTACTTTAAAGTTTATCACTCACATATTGATTTGATTTGATTTATTGATTCAACAGGAAAAGATTACTAAAAATCAAGCCTGACTCAGCATAATTGCTGTTTTACAGCAGGTTCCTGTTCTGCAGCACATAAAACACTCAGAATTACAGCATCACAATCACATCATTATACACCATAGACACAAAGACAAACAAGCATACCAAATTTCAGGAAGGCAGCATTTGCAAAATAGGATGTCTAAAGATATGAGATGAAAAGAAAAGCAGATGAGCTGCTCCTCAAAGCTGTCCATTTCGCTAATTTAACAACCAGCGTGTAAGAGCGAACCATTTTCAGTGAAATGCAGAAGCATGCGCTGCTCCACATTAACAAACACGCTCACAAAGTTCTGACCAATCAGACACCGTATTGGTCTGCAAGACCAAGTTCTGACTGGGGAAAATGTACAGGACCGGGTGTTTGTGGGAAACTACAGATGGAGGTTACGCAATTTCATCACACAAGATGAGACGTGAGAATGGAAGTATAAATCAGTCTTTAGACTTAAACTCTTGTATAAAAAACGGCAGACGACTCGCTCTCCTTCAAAGCTTTTATTTGTATTTTTCAGCCACACACTTATCACCAATTTAAAGGTAAAAGAAAGAAATGAATGACCTGATAAATGACAAACTGACAAATGCATTGTTTATTACACGAGCGCACGCTTCGAGTGAATCTTTCATGAAGTTTAGGGGAGATAAGAGTAAAAACACACAAAAAATATAGTGCACATTGTTTATATGATAGCATGTACAGAGCCTGAATTCAGTGCAGTGCATGAAAAATATGCTTTATCTGCCACTTTTCATGGAGCTGTTTTTGCCTGGAGGGTAAGTTCCACTTTGTTTGCATTTTCTCTCAGGTAAACATCATCGGCGTCTCACTGAGATCTATGAACTGACTGTGCCTTGGAAATAACATTTGTTTATGAACACAGCTGAGATTTCAAGTAGCTACATGGGATTACGCTACTTTGGCCTTACATTTCTGTCATTTTAAAGGGGTACTAAGAGTCACAAAGTATCTTTACAACAAAGCAAGATCTGATAGTAAAAATACAGAAACATCAGGAAAAGGATTTGACCAAATCTTGCAAAGTTGTTGTTTTTTTCTCCCTCACCTGCATCCCGATCAGCTTCTAGTGTTTCACAGATGATGGTGGAGTCACAGTGACAGACCAAAAAAATGTGTATATTTGTTTTTGTTCAGCATTACTCCACTCCTTTCATGAACTCCAAAAATTCTGGAGAGAGAGAGAGAGAGAGAGAGAGAGAGAGAGAGAGAGAGAGAGAGAGAGAGAGAGAGAGAGAATCATGATTAGAGAATCCTTCCTACCATTTTCATTATTATATTTTCACCATTTTTTCCCTCTTCTCACCATCGTAGTCGATTTTGCCATCGTTGTTCTTGTCCCCGTCCTTCATCAGCTCCTCGATGTCATCCTCAGTGATGGCCTCTCCGGTAGATTCCAGCATCATTTTCAGCTCGTCCAGGTCAATGTAGCCGTCTGCGTTTCTGCACAAAAATCACAGCAGCAACGTTTCTACATGAAGCCGTATAGTATAGTATAGTATAGTATAGTATAGTATA